AAGGAAGGGTCGCTATGAGTCGGGTCGGACTCGACAGCACCTAACAACAACAAATATATATATGTATATATGTGTGTGTGTGTGTGTATATATATATATATATATATATATATATATCAGTGTTTGATACATAATTAAAAAACAAACCAAACCCACTGCCACCGAGTAGATTCTGACTCATAGAGACCCCCACTGGGTTTCCAAGATTCTAAATCTTCACAGAAGCAGACTGCCTCATTTTCCTTCTATGCAGCAGTTGGTGAGTTCCATCCACCAACCTTTATGGTTAATAGCCAAATGCCTATATAAACCACTATACCATCAAAGCTCCTTTGGCACATCAAGTCGCCATCAAGTCGGCCCGACTCATAGCGACTTGGGTTTCCGAGGCAGTATCACTACGGAAGTAGATTGCCCATAATAGAGGTTCAATAAACCCCAGGCTTATTAAATAGCCCATTAGTGCGCTAGGCAACAATCCTGTCTTTGGAATCAGTCACATTTGGAGTATGATCTTAAGCAAATCCTTTATCTATGCCGGTTTCCTCACCTGTAAAGGTTATCTCACAACGTACCGAAAGTGCGTTGGTAGTAACTGTTCTTAACACTTCTTGAACAGACCTACACCTTAAGTTCTTCGGAGAGGCGGCAGCCTGGTTCTCTGAGGTGGGCGTGTGTGATTGCTGTTTAATGTGATGATGGAAGTCCTCCACCTCTCTCTGCCCACTGCTCTTCTTACGGTGCCACCTGAGGTCCCCCACTCCAAAGCGCACTCCTTCACTCCCAAACACACCCCCTCGTGTCACGTGACGTGGGGCTCGCCCTCCTCCCCCCCCCCTTCTTTCCCTGTCCCACGGACACCTGCTCTGCAGTGCCTCCGTCACGAAGTCCTTCCCGGATTTCCTCTTTCCACTGAACAGAAGGACTAGCCGCGGGGAGCAGGTCTGCGGGGCCATGGGGCCGCCACGCTTTGAGATCGCTAAAGCAACACTTCTCCCCACCCATCCTTCTAGCCTCCGAGTGAGAAATAGACGCGACCACTAGGAGGAGGAACAACAAGGAGGCATTCTGCCCCTTCTTCTCCATAGTCGTAGAGAGGACTGAAAACTAGTATACATGTTTCTGCACATTTTATTTAATGTTTGAACAAATTAAATATGAAGTGAAAAAAGTTTCTTCCCAATGCAATCTTCTGTCCTAAATGAGCTCCCCTATGAGAACTCGTTTAGAACAGTCCAACCCGGCCCAGAACCTTACGTCACAGCCCCGCCTACTTACTCACACCAGATTGGGGGCGGGAGGGTTGGCGAGTTGGACGCGACTACTTTCCTCCAAAGGGGATGGTATCTTAAAATTTCCTGAGGTGAGTCTCTAGTTCCCTTCCACAGAAACCAACAAATATTACTTAAGACTATAAGTGTTATTATATTGAATAAGTTTTCAAAACTGCGTTTTTATTTGTGTATTATAGTGCATGTACTAAAGCAAATATGTATTTCCCCCACAGCTGAAAATGAGTCTTTCTAGAGATGAAGCTAGTCATTGACTCGAGAGGATTGAGTACGGTGACGTCATATTTGGGAAGGCTCTTAGTCGAACCTACGCTGTTTTATTGTTAAAAGGTTTTTTTAGCTGAAGAAGCCGAGGAGGTTCTACCCTTAAGCCCCACAGGAAAGCTAACTCCCTGCCATTCCTCATCTGGCCACAGGCCCCTCTCCAATGGTTTTCGAAAGCGAGAGAGTTTGGAATGACGAGCGTGAGGTGACTCAAAAAAAACCAAAGTCACTGCCCTCCAGTCAGATCCGACTCATAGCTTTCCTTGCTTTCCTCCTTGGCTTTCCGAGGCCAAGGTATCACTACCGCCCAGTCTTCCTTTGGAGAAGTGGATGGTGGGTTTGAAACACCAGCGTTCTGATTAAAGTCAAATGCCTTAGGCACTATGCTACCAGAGCTAGAGACTTCGGAGTCGTGCCTGGAAGAAGTTTCCTAGTTTGATCCGGAGTCCAGCTCCCAGGCAGGAGTTCGGGAACCAGAATTAAAGTGTAGTAATCTGTTCTCTCCAGGAGCTCTGGTAGCATAGTGGCTAAAGCACTTGACTGCTAACCAGAAGGCTGGCGATTCAAACCCACCAGCCACTCCTCGGAAGGAAGGTTGGGCAATCCTACTTCCGTAGTGATACTGCCTCGGAAACCCAAGGAGGGGTCGCTATGAGTCGGGGCCGACTCGACGGCACATAACAACAACAACAACAATCTGTTCTCTCCAGAATTCCCAGTTCTCTATTTGCCCACAACAGCTGACACCCAGTTAAGTAAACAGAGCTTCTTTAGCTGTAAGACTGGTGCATTTTTCTGAGCCTGTCAACCCATAACTTCCTTCATTTCACAAGCTATAAAGTAACGTAAGAAAAGGCAAAGTGTGGAGACCTCCTTTGGGACAAACGATTAGTTTCCTCAGTATTAAAAACATGGCCCAGAAGATGCTAAGAACAGTAGAGTGGTCAGGTGCAATTAGAACAGACTTGGGGGGGAATCTTTAAAAAAAAGTTAATCAGATAGAATTGTCCTAGTCAATGAATAGGTTACTTGCAAAGTTCTGAGTCCCTTGCCCAGAGTGAGTTAAGCCAATAAAGACACACCAGGGTGAAGAGTAAGAAGCACAGTTTTTATAAAGTTTGTGCAAAAGCTGAGACAAAGAGAAGGTCCCTCAGACTATGCCTGCTTTTAAACACTCTCTAAACTTCTTTTATAGAATGGTGATTACAACATAATCATACATACAATTCCAAATGATTACAGGTTAAGCATGTGCAGGCAAACCTTAGCATGTCTCACTATAATATTAAATCCCCACTCAGAAGCATGTGATTTACTATGTTAATATCCCCTTTCACCTAGATTTAGGCTGTTGCTGGGTCAGTATTTGGTAATCAATAGTGATGACTTTCCTCTAGTGTTTGCAAACTGCCTGGCCATCTGGTTGATCTAAAAGTTATATTTCTACTCCCTTTAACTCATTGGGAAGAACCTTGCCAAACTGCAAAGAACTCTGTGCATTCCTTTAATGAAGGTCTATACATCTCCCAAAGAATACTGTGCATCCTTTTAAGGAAACATGGTGCATCAAATGTATTTAAGAGGCAGCATAGAGTGGAAAGCGTTTTAATCCCAGTTTTGACACTTGAATGAATATGACTTTCAACAAGTCACTCTGAGTTCACCATTGCTAATGCCCACCTCACAGGGTTGCAATAGGAAGAAAATGAGGAAAGTATACAGTAATGCACTCTGTAAATTCTAATGTATAATCCAAACGTAAAACCTTTTTTATTCTCCACACTTTGTGATTTCAGAGTGAGTGAATGTAGAGTTCCTAGGTGGTGCAAATCAGAGTCCCTCGGGCTGGAGCTTCAGGTCCATCCAGAGGCCCCTCAGAAGAAAGGCCTGGTGATCTGAAGAATCAGGCATCGAAAACCCTGTAAAGTATAGTTCTACTCTAACACACGCAGGGGCACCATGAATCAGAGTCAACTCCACTCCAACTGGTAATTCAACACAGGAGCAGATTTTCCAGCCAGCCTTCAGTGATCATTTATTTGAAACTCCACCACAAGCCCCAATCCCAACTCTGCCAGCAGAGACTAAAAGCATTAACACCAGTCTCATATTCCCACTTGCACCTGAGTCACCAGTTCAAACTTCCCAGGCCACTTGTTATCCCTCAGAGTCTCATCCTTCACCTGACCTCCACACCCACCATTTTCCTCCTTCCTACACCTTGGAATCAAGCTCCTTAGAGTTCCCAATCAGTAATCTGAAAACATCCCCCATATTCCTCCCCTGCCTCATCTGAACCTCCTTGTCCCTACTGCCCTCTCAGGTAGATGCTCTTTTTTCTTTCTCCCCCAGCCCTCACACTTCAGCATAGGCCTCCCTTCCTTCCCATTTCAACTTCTAGACCATGACATCCCCTGCCTCTTGCAAAACTCTGGCTCCTCTGAGGTTCATACCACCTGGCTGAGCACCCTTTCCACATTCTTGGTGCTGACTACCATCAATCCTAGTGGCATGCTCTCATTTATGGAAGACTTAGCCACTGGCTCCTAGTATTCTTTTCCATCCAGTTCTTGCCATCATTCTTAGTGGCATCACTATCAGTAGGACAAGCCTCAACTCCCTTCCTACTCAGTTCCTTGGCCTCAGATACTCAAAGGCTTTTTCCTTCTTACTTCTTCAGACACCTGCCTCCAAGAATGCACCCTGGGCTTTGTCTTCATCAGTAGCCATTCAACCTGCAAGTTCACATATTCATCCATCTTACCCTTTAAGGTCACTTGCTCAAATACTCCCCAGAGCCATGCTTCTACTCAGTGCAACCACTAGCCTATGAAACGATGTATATTATATAATACCAGCTCTGCCTTCCTTCCACAACTGAAGGGAGCATCAAACAAGTTATTATATGCTGAAAGCTCTTTGTAAACAATAAAAAACTCCAAAAAACCAAACTCACTGCCATCAAGTTGATTCCAACTCATAGTGACCCCCCACTGGGTTTCTAAAGCTATAGATCTTTACAGAAGTAGATTGCCTCATCTTCCTCCCATAGAGCACCTGGTGGGTTTGAACCACCAACCTTCTGGTTAGCAACCAAATGCTTTACCCATTATACCACCAGAGCTCGTTTTATTTTGGGTTTATTTTTTTTTAAATAAACAATGTAGGGTTACACAAATGGGAGTCACTATTTTTTTTATATATTTTTATTGTGATTTGGGTGAAAATTTACAGAGCAAATTCATTTTCCATACACATTTTGTCTCATGACATTGACTGCACTTTCCCAAATATAACAGCTCCCCTCCCACTTCCTCCCCATTGTACCTCTTCCCTATGTCCTTGCCTCCCATACACTCCTGCCCCCTGAGCTGTCTCCCTGTGCATACACTGCCCTATTCTCCCATGATTAATCTTTCCAAGGAGTGTATCTACCTACGCTAATGGTACCTAATGTACCTACATTACCTAATGTAAATGTTTGCCTGATATGTCTGTCTTTTGTTTGGATAGAAGCCACAGGGGTAGGTTCAATTCCAGACCTGAAGGACAGCTAGGGGCCATAGTGTCAGGGATTTTGCCAGGCTCTATCAGACCAGCAAACCTGGTTCTTTTTTTTTTTTTTTTTTATGATTTTGAGTTTTATTCCACTTGTAGGATCTCCTACATAGGTCCCCCTTCGAGTGGTTGACAGTGGTAGCCAGGCACCATCTAGTTCTTCTGGTCTCATAGTCATATAGGCTGAGGATTGCATGGTGGACCAGTCCCTTAGACTGTTTCCATAAGTCTTTGGTTTTTCTTCATTCTTCTTTGCTCTGGATGAGAAGAGACCCATCATTGCATCTAGATGGGTGCTTGCAAGCTTTTAAGACCCCAGTCGCTACTCACCAAAGTTGGGTGTAGAAAAATGTTTTTGTGTAGTATATTATGCCAATTGAGCCTGATGTCCCCTGCAACCATGGTCTCGAGCCCACAGGTCCAACTCCTTGCTCCCTCCAGGTAGCTGGCTGTGGCCAAGAAGTGACTACAACTTTTTCCCTTGTCAGCTCTACCATATACCTGGACATTCTTACAGAACACACAAATACACTTGTAGATACTTCGTCTACCAACCCTATACATGATCATGGACACAATCCCCCCTGTCTAGACATACCTGATCGTTCAGCCTGTCCACCCATCTACCCACCCCATAGATCAATGTTTGCCATCACTGACAATACAATATTGTATGTGCAAAAGGGTTCATCTTTGTTGTCTGTATCTCTCATGTACCTCTTCTCTTCCTCAGTGCCACTGTGTTGATCATTCACATTTGGTACATTGCCCTGCCATCACCCAAATCAATACTTGTCTCTCCCTATCTAGCAGTGTTCCCTCTCCTCCCCTCCTACCCGTGGTAACCAACAAAA